ATTGGGCCGATTTAACTACAAGTATCTCAAAGCAGTGGCTATTCTTTTATTTTCAGCACCCACGTGCCTAGAAGGTGAATGATAAACTTATGTTTGTAATGAGTAACCTGTCCCAACACTCATCTGTCCAGGGAATTTCAGGTACATGCTCCAAGTCAGCTGCCCTCTTATGTGTGCAAGTGTTTCAAGGGGAGATAGGCAAGATATAATAGATTTAAGTAATATTAATTAAAAGTTATAATTGGTATTTTAATCTCAAAACTCAATAATCAAAATTTTAAATGGAGAAAATAAATTTGTAAAACTCAATATCGGTATTAATATTCCCATTTTAAGAGTAAGGACCTATTGGTCAAAGCAGAAGTCTCAGGTTAAAAAAAAAAAAAAAAGAGGATCCACTTGGCCAAGGGCTCTTGGCGGTGGCTCCGGGTCATGGTCCTCAAATTTGGCTCAGAATAAATCTCTGTTAATAAAAAAAAAAAAAGAAAACAAAAAAAATTTATAAATAAATAAAGAGTAAGGACCACAGGGCCTGTGCGTGGTGGCTCACATCTATAATCCCAGCAGGGGAGGCCCGGGGGGAACCAAGAGTTTGAGACCAGCCTGGGCAACATAGTGAGAACCCAATTAAAAATCAGCCAGGCATGGTGGTGCCAGCCTTTATTTAGTCCTAGCTACTTAAGAGGCTGAGGGAGGAGAATCGCGTGAGTCCACGAGTTCAAGGCTGCAGCAAGCTATGATTGTCCCACGGTCTCAAAAAAATAATAAATTAAAAAGAAAAAGAGTAAGGAACAGATGTCCAAAACACAAATATTGAATATGAATATTGCAAGGCCAGCCAGTTCTGACACCTAACCTCAGAGTCTTTCCACTCTTTTCTCTCCTTTTATTTGAGACAAGATTGCCCGGGCAACCATCCATGCTAAAAAATGAAGTGAAGTGATCATAGCTCACTGCAGCCTTAAACTCCTAGGCTCAAGCCTACCTCCCACCTCAACCTCCCAAGAAGCTGGGACTAGAGGCATGGGCTGTTAGAGTAGGTAGTCAGTAAGGTATGAGCAAGGAAAGACAGAAAAGTTAATCAACTGGCTCAAACAAACAGCCCTTGAACAGACCTAAGACGAAAAGAGCCATTAGTTTCCCAGCGTTGCACAGGTACAAAGTGATCTTCCCCCCATTATATATGAGTAAGAACAGAATGAACAGAGTGCCCAGACTTCTTTGACTTAAACAAATAAAAACAACAACCACTTCAGGTTCTGCGCAGTTGCTACTTTCCAGCCTGCCTACTCTCCTGAGAGCATGCTTTTGCTCCTACACAAGTTTATCCTAAGTCTATCTGCTTTCACTCAATAAATTTGCCATTATCACTCAGTTGTGTGCGGGTTCTGAAATTCCTGTGACTTTAGCAAGAACATTCACACCGGTGACACAGCCACTACACCTGGTTATTTTTCATATTTCACACACACACGTGTATATATATATATATATATATATATATATTTTTTTTTTTTTTTTTAAGAGAGGAGGGTTGCCCTATGTTTTCCAGGCTGGTCTGGAACTCCTGGCCTCCAGCAATTTTCCCACCTCAGCTTCCCAAATTACAGGCGTGAGCCACGGAGCCCAGCTCTCCTTATTTCAAAATATTTCGATTCAAATCTATTATTTCATTTATCATGCTGTAGTGCAAAGATTGCTTATGTGTCTGACTTCACAGCAGGCTCATAGAATCTATTTTTGAATGCTTAGCACATAGTATGTGTTCAATAAAGGCTGAACGAACCCAGAAGACTCACGTCCAAGTGCCTGTGACTCTTCCAGTCCTCAGCCTTGTGACGTTAAGATAGTCACATAACTTCAATGAGACTCGGATCAAAAGCTATAGAAAGGGACCATGCGCCCCAGACCCTACTCACCAGTGTTTAGGATGACGGACGGTGACGCTGTGCGGGGAAGCGCGCCAAAGTCTCCCACTCACCTGTGCCCGGAGGAGTGACATAAGTCCGCCGGGGGTTCGCCAGCACCTTGCCGTCGCGCACCACTCCCACGCCAATCTTGTTGGCGCTACCTTCAAAACCCAGCACCGCCGGCATGGCGGAGCCGGGCAGAAAATGCCAGCAGTACTCCTAGTAACTTAGAAGCTGTGGAGACCCTCACCAGTCCGTGTTGGACTGCAGATTCCCAAGCGCAGAGGAAGGAAACGAGCCCGCAGGTGCTAGACAGCAGCTCGCACAGGGACAGACACGACACAACTCCCACGGCTACCTCTCAAGGCCCCTTTAGGACCTGTCTTCCTAACTGCCAGGGACGCTGAGCTGGCCTTTGCGCCTTACATTCCTACCCATTTCCCCACCTCTCTGCACGGTTCAGCGCAGCCCTCCCCACTGATGTTTTCCCCCTCCTGCACAGCGTTAGGACCTTCGCTGGGCTCGCAGAATAAGCCGTGCATCTGGCACAGCGACAAACAGCCCGAGAATGGAGCTCTGGGGCCTTAAGCACCCTGGAAAGATAGAAGAGAGGGAAGGCCCAGCTTCTGTCACGCGGTGCCAGGCAGGCCAATCATCACATTCTTTGGTCACGTGACGAATGTCTGGGCCCACGTGACCACGCCACTCACCCACGTGGGGACACAGCGTGTTCCATTCTTTGTGCTCGGGTAAGGAGGAGCCAGGCTGGGCCCCGGTAGGGCAGATACACTATTGCTGTTCTGCTCGCAGTAGCGTCTTCGCTGGCAGTCCGAGCGGCAATCCTGTCGGTACTCTTAATTAAGGTCCTCGGTTGGTCGTAGGGCAAATGTTGCAAGTAGGGGACAAGGCACTATGAAATGATCTAGTTACGTGGGTGAGGGGCTCAAAGGGCCTATGATTCACGGAGGCGGGTAAAAGATTCAGACAGAGATAATGTGCCTTGCAAGGCGGGACCTGGTGCGGGGACGCCCTAGGGAGGAGTCTTCCTAGCCATAGCTGGTTTCATGTCTTTGTGTCTGTAGGCAACGTGATAAAAATATTGCATCGGTGGGCGAGGTGGTACAGGTGCTCAAGGGCGTTCGTTTCAGGGATGCCGAAGCGCGGGAAAAAGGGAGCGGTGGCAGAAGACGGGGAAGACCCCAAGACGGGTAAGAGACTGAAATGAGTCCCTCTCCCTACAAGCTGCGGTGGGGGTATTTCTAATTCCCTTGATGAACAGTAAGTACAGACCGACTCATTTTGCAGGAATTTGTGGAAAGGTCGCGGTAACTGTAGGCTCTGGTAGGGTCTGTAGTTAACTCCAGATCGAGCTTGGAAACCGCAAGCTTTTATCACTATATGTTAATCATTTTATAGAGCCAGAGACCAAGAAGAGTAAGACGGGAGCAAAGAAAAACGAAAAAGAGGCAGCAGGAGAGGGCCCAGTCCTATATGAGGACCCCCCTGATCAGAAAACCTCACCAAGCGGCAAATCTGCCACACTCAAGATCTGCTCTTGGAACGTGGATGGGCTTCGGGCCTGGATTAAGAAGAAAGGATTAGATGTGAGTGGGATCAAGGAGGGGAAGAGACATTTAGTTAGTATCAAATGATCTTGGGGTTTAATCACCTTTTCTCTTTTTAGTCTCCATGTTAAGTTTTACTTCCCTCCTGCCTGTAGTTTTGTTGGAGAGGTACAAGTGGGGCTTCCCCAATTCTCTCCAGTTGCATTTCCTAAATGTCTATTCTTTTCATTCCATTGCCATTGTTTTATTTACTGTCCTCTCTAACCCAGAATTTTGCCAAAATTTCTTTACTGGACTTCCTTGGTTTTATCTCCAACTTATTTTCCATTCCAATAACTACTAAAAAGTCTTAGCTGGCTATCCACTGGATACAGAAAAAAACACAATCTTCTTAGTGTAGCACGTAAGGCTTTCTTCTTACCTGCCTCTACTAGTTGTCAGTTATATTGTTTAAATATTGTGCTGCTGGACAGGGATTGTGTCTAGCTTATGCATATCTAGTACTTAGCACAGATTGTTCAACAAATGTTCTAAATTGATTATTTATTCCACCTTTGTTTTCACTCACAGTGGGTAAAGGAAGAAGCCCCAGATATCCTGTGCCTCCAAGAGACCAAATGTTCAGAGAACAAACTACCCACTGAACTTCAAGAGCTGGCCGGACTATCCCATCAGTACTGGTCAGCTCCCTCGGACAAGGAAGGATACAGTGGTGTGGGCCTACTTTCCCGCCAGTGCCCACTCAAAGTTTCTTATGGCATTGGTGAGACCCTCTTGATCCCTAATGCCTGCATTCTTCCAAACCAACTGCTAATACTTTATCCCTGCCCCAACTCTTGATTGCTCTTCCTTTTCTTACAGTTCTTTATGTTTCATCATTTCTGTAGGTGAGGAGGAACATGATCAGGAAGGACGGGTGATTGTAGCCGAATATGACAAGTTTGTGCTGGTAACGGCCTATGTACCTAATGCAGGCCGTGGTCTGGTACGACTGGAGTACCGGCAGCGCTGGGATGAAGCCTTTCGTAAGTTCCTGAAGGGCTTGGCTTCTCGGAAGCCCCTTGTGCTGTGTGGAGACCTCAACGTGGCTCATGAAGAAATTGACCTTCGAAACCCCAAGGGAAACAAAAAGAATGCTGGCTTCACTCCACAAGAGCGCCAAGGTTTTGGGGAATTGCTGCAGGCTGTGCCACTGGCAGACAGCTTTCGGCACCTCTACCCTAACACAGCCTATGCCTACACCTTTTGGACTTACATGATGAATGCTCGATCCAAGAATGTTGGTTGGCGCCTTGATTACTTTTTGTTGTCCCACTCTCTGTTACCTGCATTGTGTGACAGTAAGATCCGTTCCAAGGCCCTTGGCAGTGATCACTGTCCCATCACCCTATATCTGGCACTGTGAGGCCTCCCCCAAGATCACTTGTTTCTCATCTATAAAATGAATCTTCCAAGCAGGGTCCTATGACAGACTTAGGTTTCTTTTAAGCCCAAAGCCCAAGGTTTTTGTTTTGTGGGTTTTCTTTTCTTTTTCCTTAAGTTGAACAAAGGCTACTGCTTACCTCCTACTTCCTTTGATCTATCCACATGAAAATAAAAAGCCATAGTTTCAGCTTTGCTGTCTTTCATTGTGTTTTTTCCCCTCTTTGTGGGGCTACAAATTCCCTTCCTCATGTTTTCATACATACACGTTAACAACTGGAAAAGGGTAGATCATTACCTTATTTATTTACAAGCACAGGATGATCCCTAGCCTCCCCCGAAACAGAGTAACCCTACCCAGCCCAGTTCAATATTGCAACTGGTGGGTAAGGAAAATTGGAAGGAGGAATTAAGGGAAATATAGGACTAGGGGAACATACCCCACATTAAATAGTTATATACATATCAGTTCCTGTGGTTCTGTACAGAGCAGCAGCTGACCCCCACCCCCACAGGACACAATGTGGGGAGAGGAGACTGGAGGGTTCTGAGGCCAGAGCCAAACCCTGGTGAAGTGCAATAGCAGCAGCAAAGTCCTAATGGAGCACAAGAAGGAGGGGAACCCCCAGGGCTACCCACCCCCACCCTGCCCTGGAATGTGTAAGGGACAGGAATGGCTCTCAGGGAGCATACAGGAAGGACAAGGCTAGAACCGTCTTTAGGACCCAACCCGGGTTTAGGGGCAACATTTTGCCTACTTCACCCTAAGCAGCAACCATTGGAGGAAAGCGGATGGTCAGCAGTGGTCTTATCTACCACTCCAACCTATGTGAGGGCTGGTTCCTTCCTACCTCTCCCCAGGGAAAAGGAAGGCAGCTGCTTGGCTTCCTTACTGAAGCCCAGGGAGCCTTTTACCCCAGCTCCCTTTGTAGTGTCACTGTCCCCAACAGGGAGGGGCCAGGCACAGTCTGTGGGTCATCAGGTTCAGGAGAAATTCTGGACAGGGTGGCTGACCTTCATACAGGCCCAATAGAGGGCCCGGCCCAAACAGAGCACAGCCAAGAGGATAACAAATGCCCAGCCTGCATAGATGCCTCCATATCGCCGTGCATGCTTCCATGTGCCAAACTGATGACGGAGGAGAAAAAAAGAGTTACTATTCATCTCCCACTACTTCCTAGAAGCCCTAGAAACAGTAACGCAGAACTCAAGCTTCAATCCCTGTTCCCTATCCACATGCAGCCACCTTCTTAAAGGGACCTTCTTTTTTTTTGAGACAGAGTCTCACTCTCTCGCTTGGGTTAGAGTGCCGTGGCGTCAAGCCTAGTTCACAGCAACCTCAAACTCCTGGGCTCAAGCAATCCTCCTGCCTCAGCCTCCCGAGTAGTTGGGACTACAGGCACATGCCACTGTGCCTGGCTAATTTTTTCTGTTTTTAGTTGTTTGGCTAATTTCTTTCTATTTATAGTAGAGGCAGGGTCTCGCTCTTGCTCAGGCTGGTCTTAAACTCCTGAGCTCAAATGATTCACCCGCCTCGGCCTCTCAAGAGTGCTAGGATTACAGGCATGAGCCACCGTGCCCGGCATCTTTTTTTGGAGACAAAGTCTCATTCTTGTCCCGGCTTGAGTGCCATGGCGTCAGCCTAGCTCACAGCAACCTCAAACTCCTGGGCTCAAGCAATCCTACTGCCTCAGCCTCCAAATAGCTGGGACTACAGCCATGCATCACCATGCCCGGCTAATTTTTTTTCCTATATATATTAGTTGGCCAATTAATTTCTTTGTATTTATAGTAGAGATGAGGTCTCACTCTTGCTCAGGCTGGTTTCAAACTCTTGACCTCGAGCAATCCACCCGCCCTGGCCTCTCAGAGTGCTAGGATTACAGGCATGAGCCACTCCGCCCGGCCTAATTTTTTCTATATATTTTTAGATGGCCAATTAATGTTTCTATTTTTAGTAGAGACGGGGTCCTGCTCTTGCTCAGGCTGCTCTCAAACTCCTGACCTTGAGTGATCTGCCCACCTCAGCCTCCCAGAGTGATTACAGGCGTTAGCCACCGGCCCAGCCTTAAAGAGACCTTCTTAAAGACCAGGTTCTTTAGCTCCCTTCCCCTAGGCGGGAACATATTCATACTATGGCAGACGGACATCTGTCAGTTTTTCTTAGTATCTGACAACTGAGCCAAGCTTCCTGATAGCAACTCTTAAATTAAGCCACTTCTTCATTGTCCTGAAAGCAGATGACTGTTTTTTACTCCTTTTTATCATTTTTAACTTCAGCTCATCCTTACCTTAAAACCAAACAAACACCCTCCACCTGGTTTCTTTTACTTTTTTTAAAGCAGCCATTTTCCAAATCTTAGCCTATGGAGATGAGGCTGAAGAATGAAAGGGGTTGGGACAGGGGTACTCACAGCAAGGCCAGTGGCAGTGACTGCTAAGAGCAAGCCAAGCAAGAAACAGCAGATACATCTCTTTCGTGGGTATCTGCGCCCAATAGATGACCTGTGGGGAGGCAAACAGAAACAGATGCTTGTGATGGCCCTGTAGTTTTCATTACACACATCACCCAATTACAAGCTCAATCCCTAATCACTTACACTTTCCTGCAGTGAGGGCAACGTGCC